CAGGCCGCGCAGGAGAGCCTGCCGGCCCTCGGGGGAAGGGAGGCCCTGGCCCAGGTCAGTCCCCAGCATCCTGCCTGTCTCATGCAGGCATTCGGGCGCAGCTCCCCACGGCTGGAACTTCAGCCTCTCGCCGCCTTGGAGTTGGCAAAAGTCATCGAGTTTCTGGGTTTCCCGCTTCCGCAACTAGTGCGGGGTGTTGCGCCGTGGAAGCGCTCGCCTTTGGGCGCGCGAGCGGGGAACTTGCGCGTTTCCTTCACGAACTGCGTGGGAATCGCAGCACGGGGTGGGGTTCCTCATCTGTGGTTTTCAGAGCTGGTCTGGTGCTGACTGCTCCTGAGAATAGGAATTAAACTTTAATGTTTTACAAAGCAAATTCTTGGACAGACCCTGTTCTGATCCATTGTGGCCGGCTTTGCACAGGTGATTGTACTATAGCTTGCTTTCCACAGTGCTTGGTTTTGCACACACAGAGACTTGCCAGAGCGAAGAATAAGCAGAGTGAATTTACGTTACAGTGGCAGCTCAGTCAGGTGCTGGAAGTTCAGTGAGCGGGTAGCCAGAAGGGCGAGTCACTGACTGATGCACCTTTCAGATGCTGGAGGACCCTGACGAGCTAGCAATACTGGAAGAGATCCAGCAAGAACTGATCTTGCAAGGTAATTTCTCTACGCACTTTCTGACTCCTATTTGATTTGTTGTAGCCCTGACTTTCTAGTAATCCAAACCAGCCGAGGCTGCGCTCCTTGGTTCTTGTAGCCTGTGTGATACCAGAGAGCCTCCTTAGAAAGCTCTGTAGCCTCCCTAATGCATTGAGACTCTTTTTGACAAATTTAAGAGTTTTAAGCAGCATTTTAAGGTCCATGAGAAGCTAATAAGAGAATAGAGAAACAGGACTGAGGTGTTTGGGAGCTGTGGGACCCTGTATAAATCAGAACACTGGAAAGTCACCCACTTGAGACTGGCTAAAGATTGAGCCACAGGAAAAACTGGATTAACAGGAATTATTTCCTCAAGTGTAGAAATATGATACAAAGAACGATAAGTTCAGAAACAAGTGACTGCCCCAGCCTCCACCTGCCCAGCAGCTTCACACCGGCTGCTTTGTCTTCGGCTCCTAACAGAGGCCTGAGGGCGTTTTGCTGTGTTATTGCAGAACAGTCGGTTATAGAAGAGTACGAGCGAAGCCTGCAGTTTGATGAAGAATGTCTCAACGCGATGCTTGATGGCTTGGACGCCAGCAACAAGGTCATCTGCCCAGTGTGTAGAAAGTAAGAAAGCCCTTGGCATCAGAATGAGGTTCTCCCCTCTCTTACAGCAGTTTGGGCTTAGAAACGGGCAAAAGCAGCGGGCAGAGGCTGCTGTTACTGTTAATTTCAAAACCTGAGCAATGATCTAAATTTAAGAGGGTTTTTTGCTAAACTCTACCTTTGTTCTTGGTCTCTGTGGTGATGCCCCTTGCATGCTCTTTCTAGGAATAACCTCACTGTGAGGAATCACTTTGTCTTCTGCCAGTGTGGATTATACATCAGCACGCAGGTAAGCTGCACCGTAACGTGGTAAATGCGACATCTCGTGTCTGCTGCTGCGAAGAGGCAGTTTCAAGCTACACGCAGCAACTTACACATGAGATTTCTTTTAACCCAATTTTTCTCAGGGTATGACAGAAGGGAAGCTTCGGTCGCTTCTAGAAAACACTCTAACAGAGCACAGTCACAGGTGCTTTCACAACCCGGAGTTCACGGTGACCAGTGGAATGGAGGAGGAAGCCAGTCTTCTCATGAGCTGCGCGGTGAGTCTAAACATCAGGAAAGGCTCTCTGCTAGGATCCACTTCTCAGTTACCTGGGCAGAAACCACAAGTCCATTGATCCCAGGGGTTTGTGTTGCCGTTTTCTCCACAAACTTCCTTGGAAATGGTTTTACTTTTGACCACCAGTAGCCGTAAAAGGAAGAGCCAAATTGCACAACTTACCTTTGCTGCTGGATTAGGGAATCGTTCGAGGAGCTGTCAAATTTAGTGCCTTTTACCTTTTTCACACCTTGGCCAACAACTTCCAGGTTTTGTGTGCAGCATCTGTCCAGGTAAGTGGCTCATGAAGAAGTTTTAAAAAGTACTTCAGTTTCAGCCTCCTCAAAAGGCTTGCCCCTACCCCTTTAAAAAACACGTACCATCCCTTTGGCCCAAGCTAGAGCTAGCATGTTCTTAGCTTTGCTGCTTATGTAAAACTACTGTGAGGGCAGTGTTAGGAGCAGACCATTTCAAATAGTTTTGAACATTAGTAATTAATTTTATACATTGCTATTGCTTCTCTGTTCCATTTACCTTTTGTAAAGGTCTGCGACTCGTGGATGATTCTCCTGTAAGTTGATTCAGCTGCTGCTTTTTCACTGGAAGAACTTCAAGACTAAAAAAGCCACCCAGAGCTGCTAGTGCTTTTATGTATATATTTGTAACTGCTGTGTCAAAAAGATACTTGAAAAGGCAGTAATAGTGCCTTGATCTGCACTTTTAATGGCACAGTGTATGTTTTGAAATAAATATATTTAGTTTATTTCAGCCTTTGTGTTGTCTTTAACAAAGCTGAAGGCCAAACTTATGTTGACCTTCAGGCAGCTCCTGGAGACCTGGGTTTGTGTAGGAGACCACAGCTGCTGGCCTGCAGCACCACCTCCGACAGCAGCAGCCCATCCGTTGTTCTGCCGGAACCAAAGTGCTCCAGCCTCTCTGCAGCATTTTTCTCTAATAGCTACGTTAATACTGGTACAACAGGCCATGGCATGACTTCCTTCTTAAAACAGCTCTTCAAACACAGTGCTTAGGACCCTGAATTTGATTCCCTAGCACACACCCAGCCAGCCAAGGCTTCTAGAATGAGATTCGCATTCATCATTAGCCCTGCCTGGCCAGCAACCTTCCTCCTCTGGCCACAGCTCTGACAGAGGGCACGCTGTGTGGAGGTGCAGGACTAGCTCTCCCCGGAGAAAATTCCGGGCCAGCACACACGGTCACTGCAGCAACAGCTCTGCAGGCAGCTGTACTGACAGCGCTCGGGCACAGGAAATGCTAGCATCGCTTTTAGGGCAGCTCTCTGGTCTGCAGTGGTACAGCAGGAAGGAGAGAAACCACTGTTTTTTCAGTGATATGTTGGACAGATTTTATTTTTCACATTCGTTCTTAATTGTACAAAACCCACCAAGTAGGGGGAATCAATTCCAGACCATGGTGTTGGACAACTTGATCTGGGCTGCAACATAAATACAAATCCCCAAATACAAGCAAGAATCCTCATTCTCCAAATTCAAAGTTACTTACTCTCCATAGCTGTTGTGAAGATATATTTGGGTGTTGCTGGCTGGAGCAGCACTGTGGAATACCCACATTTACAGAGAAGTCTCCTAGCCTAACCTACTGACATTTGACAAAGCTTTTAAGGTCTTCAAGGAATTTAATGTACTCCCGGTGCTCCAGTGCAGTGCTGAGCTCTATTAACTCATCGGCAAACGTGTTGTCCACTCCTCGATCAGCCAGGAAATCCATTAAGTGATCATACAGAGCCTGGAAGCAATGAACAGGAAACTTCCTTAGCAGAGCGCACCTGGGTAGGGGTTGTTTTTAAAACACTGCAGGAAGATCTGGCCTGCAGGAGACCAGGCAGCTCCCTGTCCCCTCCTCCGCGGACCTGGCCTTGGGCGTACCGTTCGGAGGGAAGGGGCTGTGGGACAGGTCTTTCAAACCTGGTCACGTAAACCCAAACCCAGTATGACAAACGAGCTGCACTCAAGATGACTGACTGACTATAGGAGCCAGCAGGTAAAGTCTGTCAAAGATGGCACACACCAAGCCCTGCCTGTCCCCCCTGTGTAATAGTGCTATGGCCTTGGGGGGAGTTGTTTTAACATCATCAGACACCCGAGACAGGACTCCTTCACAATTCAGGAGCAAACGCGCAGCCAGATGAGATAAGCTGAAGTGCCTGCGGCAGCCTACGATCCCAAGCGTTAGCAGCGCTCACCCAGTCAAGGGAATCCGTGTTGAGGGTGTAGTTGGTGTCCTTCCAATCCGATTCTCCGGTGGGCTGAAAACTGACCTCTCGAATCGTGAAAATGTCACTTTCTTCCTCTCCCTCATGTCCAACCTGAAACAGCAGATGCGAGACACGCAGTTAGCTCTAACTGCTGGGCCCCTTCAGCCACCTCATCCCAAAGGCAGGAATGTTACGCTGCAGGCAAAACCCCAAGACCGGTACTAGAGCCGTGCCTCTCCCCTCTCAACGCCTGCCTGTGAAGACACACGCAGACACGCAGGAGAACGCAGGAAATCCTGTCAGCTTACCAGCTCATGCAGACGTGGTGTAAGTCAGCAGCCTGATTTTTACAAAGATGTAAAACCCTCTTCTGCACGATTCTAAATCTGTCTTCACATGTCTGTCTAACCTTTGTCAGCTAGGACTGGCTGTGTAAATGATCTGCTAAGGTTTACAAAATAAACCACAAAGCTCAGTCTGAAGCAAAGCTCTCAATTCATTCCCCCCCTCCTTTTTTTCATCCCTACTTCTCTGTGCAACACCTCACAACAGTAAGATTTGCAAGTTACGGACACACTGTATTAAATCTGTCTGTTTTGGCCACTCTTGTTAACGCCTCTCAAGTTGCCATGCCCTTAAAGAGCTAAGCAATGCCTCCCTTCTCTAATGCAATTCAATAAACTGGCCAATAAGCAGCCGATCAGAAACGCCAGGTCAGGATGTGAGGGATGCAATGGAACATCTCCTCCCCAAAGCTTGCTCTTGCAACTACAAAGCCTTTTTTTTGTGTGTGTTTAAAAAAAAAGAGAGGGAAGAGGAGGCTGCATTTTCTGCAGATTCTAAAAGCAGGAGCCTATAAAAAGCTGTCAGATCCAACAGCGGCACAATTACACTACAGTCAAGCAGGAAACACGCAGCGAGTCACAGCCCAGAGTTGGCTACGGCTAACACACGGCCAGTACGGTACCCACCTCGTCTTCGGGATAATGGCAGTCAAGAACAAGGGTCTGTTTTGTGTCATCTTTTATTACTTCCACAACAAAGTTGGGAGTTGATGTAAGATCAGGCTAAATAAGAGAACAGTTGCATCAGCATTAGAATCTGAACAGGAGTAAAGTGATGCTGGCACAGCCCAGCAACACAGCCCCATCCAGCGCAGGTTGTTCCCTGTCACCCTCTCTCTGGAGGCTCTGACCTGGCCAGGGCAACCCAAACGTCCCTCAGCCTCGCCAGTGGCCCTTCAGCCCCTTCTCTGCAGCTGGTCACACGGGTAAAACGGCAGCTGGGGGCATCTGCCATCCCCTGGCGACCCTGCAGCTCAGGTCCTTCCAGAGTGACAGGAACTGGGAGCAGACTCGGATCAGGAGCTGCTCGTGCCTGCCTGCCTCCATGGAGGAAACATGGCAGGACACAGGGACCGCCAAGCACACGTACACACGCACAGATCAAGTGTTCTGCGCGTTCTCAGCGGATACGGGCACACCCGGGAAGGGAAGCAACGTACCGGTGTCCCCCATGCTGTCCCACCCGGCTGAGTACAACGTGTAGGAATAAATATTCCCATGCAGAAGGTGCAAGTGAACTGCTACAAAGGGTGCAGCTGCATTCCTGACTTGTCCAGCAACAGTGGTACTGCAGATGAAGCCATCTGCCTCAAATGATACAGCTCATTTACATTTTTTATCAGTATTTTTACTAACAGACTTATTAAAAAGGAGCAAGACAGTTCTGGCCAACAAAAGCACACAAGCAAAGCCATGTCAACAGCTTTGCGTTTCGTCGGCACTGCCTGCCAGCACCGTGCGTTACGCTAGGAACAAAAGGCAGATATTTATTGTAGGGGGTTGCAAAGGCAAGAGACACCAGAGCTCCTCTCGCTCCTCCTCCCACAGAGCCCTCTCACCCTGCTCTGCCCTTATGCTGCAGGGAAGAGGGTCAGAGCCAAGTGACAGCCGACCCAGAAAAATCTGCATTTTGTGACTTAATGCTCCCAAATGTCAGTGAGAGGGAAAAAAAACCCCATAACGCCTAAGGGCAAGGTTCTAACTTGCCACGGTGTACCCATCGAGACTAAGTTACCTCCTGCTCATCAGGTTTCTGCTCTTCTTGTGTTTCATCTTCAACTGAGGGTGGAATGCTGTTATTGATGTTGAATGTAACCGTTATCCTTCAAAAGAAACAGAAACAATTATTTTGACCACCCTCCAAAAAATCCTGATCAAAATTTCTTCTATTTGGAGCTTTTCTTGTAGGTAGAGCGTTACTGGTGTTGAATTCACACACCAGGAACAAGACTACGTATTGCAGTTTAAAACGCACGCCTGAAGGAAGCTGGCTTCCTCCAATCACTCTCACAAACAAGCATTTTTCAAGTTTTACTGGACTAAACTGTTACTTTTAATGCAGGAAGACTGCATGAAACTTTGTAACACACAATACAGTGGCAAACTTGTGTAAAAAGAAAGGGGGGGGGGGAAGGAAAAACAAAGAAGTGCCTTTGACCCAAGATGGAAAAATAAAGAGTCTTTGCAACGTCCAGCTTGCACAGACTGGACAGCCGGCAACAGAAGGAACGGGAGCGCAGGGAGGAGTCGGGTTGTTCAGATTCTGCCTCTGCAGCACACGTGCTGGCCCAGGGGCCTCCTTCGCTCCCGGCCTCACTTACTTCTCACCGGCGACCTTCCGCACCAGCTTGGCCTCCGTGCCGTGGACCTCCAGCTCCCACCCGCCGGAGACCTTGGGCAGCGATTGGTGTTTCTGGATCTTCTTCTCCTCTTTGATCTCATCGCTCAGGAACTGCGCGAAGGCTTTGTCACCTGGCGGGAAAC